GTGCTGCCAAGATTTTCAGCCACCCTGATGTTGTTGTTGAGGAACCCTGGTATATTGACATATATCCTATTTAGTTTTCATAGTAGAAACTTTTTCCCTATATAAAAGGGCAGTCCGGTACATTAAACTCCCGTTATGCGCGCGGTCCGGGAAGGGCCGGACCACAAGGGTCTATGCCTTGCATTTCTGTAAGAGGCTGTTTCTACCGCTAGAACCCGTGACCTCCTGATCACATATCAACAACTTTACCGGTTACACCAAGGCTCCCCTCCAAAAACTTTCCCCCTATGATTTTGGAAATTTTCTAACTGTTTGATAAATTGTGTAAATTAGGTATGGTCTTGAGCAAGAATACACCTTGTTGCAAAAAGATATCAATTGGCCTCTTGGATGGCCTCTTGGTGGTTTTCCTGGACCACAGGTAAATTTGTTTGCACCTTTTTCCCATTTAAGATTGCAGTTTTCCTTTCCTTTTTTTATTTTTTTTATTTTTTAATAGTTCAGACTATGTTGCTCGGATCCTTCAAAATTAGGCCGCACCCGTATCAGATCCTCCAACACGAATGCAACAACATTTTTGGAGGATCCGATCAATATAGTTTACAGGCATTTGTTCTTTGTTTGGTTTCTTAGTACCTAATCAGAGTTATGTTCACATGGAAAAAGAGAATAATAGGGAAAAAAGGTGTAGCATTTTTAGTTCTTCAACCAATACCTTTTTCTTGCTTTTATATCCTCTCCTCTTATTTCTGCAGTGATGTCTATGTCTATGCTAATATTGCTTTTCTCAACAATGCTATCAAGTAACGTTAAAATAATGACTTAAAAAAAAGTGAATAATTCCCCCTTGTTTCAAGCAACTTCCTAAGACTAGAAAATCACATGATTATTTATGATTATGAAATTTTCCTTCTCTAACGGCTGATGAATGTTATCTGACTAATTTTAAGATTGAATTTAGGGACCATACTATTGCGGAATTGGAGCTGGAAAGGCTTTTGGACGCGATATCGTTGACTCTCATTATAAGGCATGTCTCTATGCTGGGATTAACATCAGTGGTATCAATGGAGAAGTGATGCCCGGACAGGTATACAGCCTATTCCTTTTACATCTTTATTAGCTTAGGCGAATCCAGAATATAGAGTCAGTGGGCTCAGAACGAGTATGATATTATTATATGTATTATATAATTCAAGCGAAAGCAACTAGTTCAATTGAACCTACAGAATCTGCCTTAGATTCGTCTGAACCCTAGTTTGCTTTGTTTCGACATGATGTGATGCAGTGGGAATTTCAAGTTGGACCTTCAGTTGGCATTTCAGCAGCTGATGAATTGTGGGCAGCTCGTTACATTCTTGAGGTAATGTAGCTAAGTAGTTGATAATTTTAGCCTCAATTTCAAATTCATTTCTCTTACTATGTGGATTTTAACTTATATTCACTTATTGATTTTTGTTGTTTAAACAGAGGATTACTGAGATTGCTGGAGTTGTGGTCTCATTTGACCCCAAACCTATTCCGGTAAGCTCACTATTTTGTATTCGTAGAGATCAAATAAGGCAGCCTGGTGCACTAAGCTCCCGCTATATGCAAGGTCCGGGGAAGGGCTGGACCACAAGGGTCTATTGTACGCAGCCTTACCCTGCATTTCTGCAAGAGGCTGTTTCCACGGCTCGAACCCGTGACCCAGGGAACAAACATCCTTTTCAATTTCAACTACAAATACTTGTGTTTTTAATTCCCCATTCAAATTTCGACCAAATCATGTCCAATTGCCTAAATCCTAACCTCAAATACTTTTTTTTTTTTTTTTGCCCTTCTAGGGTGACTGGAATGGTGCTGGAGCTCACACAAACTACAGGTAGAGCAATAAATATTAACATTTCATATTCAACTCATAATTAATATTTTTCTCAATTTCTAAGTGATTGAAAATTTGGAATGTTTTTTTTCAGCACAAAGTCTATGAGGAATGAAGGAGGCTATGAAGTCATTAAGAAGGCAATTGAGAACCTTGGACTGAGGCACAAGGAGCATATTGCAGCATATGGTGAAGGCAACGAGCGTCGTCTCACTGGAAGACACGAAACAGCTGACATCAACACATTCAAATGGGTACGTGATACTGTAGTCTTTTATACTGATAGCGTAAAAATTCTTTATACTGTCAGTATATATAAGTTAAATGTCGTGTATCTCATTTATGTTGATGCATGTGGATTGTTCAGGGAGTTGCGAACCGTGGTGCATCTATTCGTGTGGGAAGAGACACGGAGAGAGAAGGGAAGGGATACTTCGAGGATAGGAGGCCTGCTTCGAATATGGATCCATACGTCGTGACTTCCATGATTGCTGAGACCACTATCCTATACGAGCCTTGAGTGTGTAGTCGTCTTTTGAGGATTCAATGAGTATTAATTCTTGGGTGTAATATTTGGAGAAAGAATTGAATTTCGGAACAACCCTTTCCTCACAATGTCCTTATACAGTTAGCTATCTTGTTATATTCTGCTGTTTTCCTGGTTTCCATTTGTATTGTACTCAGCAAAGCTGAGGTCATTGCCTGTGATTTGGCAATGGTGTAAAATAACAGTGTTAATCTTATTATTAATAACAATAGGGAAGGGTTTAACTCATTCTACTGCTTAGTGAGATGCATATTTTCTGTTTTAGTTTTGGTTGTTTATAAGGATTCCTTCACATAGTCGTCCAAAATAAGGCTGAATACATGTGAAAAACGTAAGTGAAATACAAGGTTCCAATTTCAGCAAAATGAGAACAAGATATGATCATATATAATGCTAATATTCTGTATTAATTTCTTTACAAAGGACAACATTCAGGTTCATTGTCCTCAAAACATATACAAGAGATTTGTTGCTAATTACTTTTGTTTATGTTTATGGGTGGATATGAAAAAACAACAACAATAACCCAGTATAATCTCACTAGTGGGGTATGGGGAGGATAGTGTGTACGCAGACCTTACACTACCCTGGGGTAGAGAGGCTGTTTCCGATAGACCCTCGGCTCCCTCCATCCAAGAACTAGCTACCTTGCTTTTGGGGTGATTCGAACTCACAACCTCTTGGTTGGAAGTGGAGGATGCTCACCACTAGAGCAACTCACTTCTGCTTCAAGACAAAAAGATCAAGAATTGCGTGTCTTTAAATTTTGATTATGAATCAAGACAAAAAGTCGGACATACGTGTTCAAGACAAGTTTACTTTTGGTAACAGACGACAGGAACTCTAGCAGGAAAGGGCAGTTGATTTTCAAGTGTTTCTGGCTTCATTCTGCTTCTGATGTGAGCACCTCTATCTGTTGATATTGATCTTCTAACAGGTGGAGAGGAGGTTACTGATTTTTCCTCTGTTAGCAAGGAGACTCGTTAGGACTACATATAAAGACCTAAATGTAGACATTAACGCTTTATCAAGACCAAGGCCAACAAGATTGAAGATCAACAAGAAAAAAAGCAGCGCCTCAACCCTTGTAAGGAAAGAAATAATCTAATCTATTTTTCTGGCATAGCCGAGCCATTCCTTTTCTTTTGAATAGCAGGTTGGACGAAACTACTAAAGAAAAAAACCTATTCAATTAGCCAAAAAGGACAGAAAGGGATTTGAACCCTTGATAGTTCTTTGTTAACACTATACCGGTTTTTAAGATTTTTTACACCCTAAGCCTACTTATTTGACTTGTTACTGCTAAGCAATGATTTGGCAAATAAGAAAATACTTCCTCCGTTCCAGTTTATGTAAACCTATTATTTGGATCGGGAATTCGGATGGTGCGAAATTTAGCCAAATAACGGTATAATGACAATAACAAAGACAATTGAAGTTGATAACAACGGTAATTAAAGTAGATAAAGAAAACACAAATTTAACGTGGTTCGGTCAAAGTGACCTACGTCCACAAGCGGAGAGAAGCAATTTACTATAACAATAAGAGTACAAAAGAGAGTACAAAATTAGAGTAAACACTCTAATTAATCCCAAAACCCTAAGAGAATAACCTCACAAGATCACTCCAAAGAAAGGGTTCACACAAGTGTTTCCCAACACTAACTCTCATACAAAACACTCTTAATAAAGGAAGAAAGGAAGAAACAAGAATTGAAGACAAGTCTTGTTGGTGTGTCTAAAATGAACTAATAGCCTTCCATTTTATAGGCAAAAAAGTCATGGCTTCTTAGGTGTAAAAGAAGAGATACAACTTGTGCAAATGATGTCCAACACACAATGCAATATTTTTGGGTCCCAAAGAATATTGCCAACAAAATCTACATTTTACAAAGATGCTTATACTTATGTGAGATAGACTTCATTAGCCAAAATATTGGCCATAATTACACCTATTTCTTTTTTGGTCCGTTCAAAAAAGAATGACCCCTTTTTAAATTTGGAAACAATTTAGCTTAAACTTACAATTCTACCCTTAATGAAAAACTTTTATAACCACACAAATACTCTGGGCCCCTTTTTGATTTGTTTAGTACCACAAATTTCAAAAGTCTTCATTTTTTCTTAAATTCCATGTCCAATCAAACATATTCACATAAATTAAAACGGATGGAGTAGTATTTAAAAGAAACTAACTAACTAAAAATTCAGGATTAGTAGTGAAAAGTTGTAAATGAAAGAACTTTCAAAAGGCTTTCGACTTCATAATCTAATTCTTATTGACATATCCCAAACCCCACTTATAAGATTATACTGTGTTTGTTATTATTGTATATTAGCTATTTGAAAGGTCCATAGCAATCAACTCTTTAACCAAAGCCAATACTCTTTCATATCTTGTCACAAACCATATAGCCAAATACCGTTTTGCTTGTAAGCACTTAACTAAAAGGGATCGCCGTTCAGGGGCGGATGTAGAGGATGGCTGCGGGTTCATCTGAACCCAGTACTTTCACCGCAGAACATAAATTTATGTATAAAAATTTATTAAAATTGCAACAAATAGTAGGTATGAACCCATAACTTTAAAAATATAATGGGTTCAATGCTAAAAATCTTAAAAATTGAACCCACTGAATCTAAATCCTGAATCCACGTCAGTCGTGTTAAAACCTAACCTCAATATCACCGCAAACACCAGCTTCCTCTATTGTCTCGCGTCTTGCTGCATCTTCAATTGTTTCATCCTTTTCCCAACCTCCCTGGCATAACAAGAGCAACGCATTTGTAAACAAAACAAACAAATCAATCTAATAGAGCTTAGAGAATAAAACATCATTAAGTTTGAAAACCATAGATCTGTTTGCTACCTTTGGAAACAACAATCCTTTTCCTTTTCTCTGAGGACTTATGAGAAGAACTTCAAACGCATCTTCATCCGCCATAGATAGGTCAATAATATCTTTATATCTGTACGGTATACACCTGCAGAAGACATCAAACTCATCTCAGGACAACATAAGCGTAAAGATGAAGTTACCAAATTCTAAACTCATTCTGATCTGAAGAAATATTGTAAAGCATGTAGTTTTAGCATGTAGTTTAAGCGCGGTGCACTAAGCTCCTACTATGCACAGGGTCCGTGGAAGGCAGGTCGGACCACAAGGGATCTATTCTAAAAATACAAAACTTAATTGTCAGACGCCAGTAAATTGAGAAGCAGCAAACAAGTAATTATTTCAAAAACTCTAATTTGTAAATCAATCCATTTTGCAAACAAATAAAAGAACATCCCACTTACAGAACCGACGACTGAAATTTGAAGAAGTTCTAGTAATTGCAAAGTGAAATGGACCATTAAGTCTATCATTTTGTTCATCCTGGAAGTCAACTCTTCATTAATCATTACACCCTCTTTCCTCCCACCTCTCAAACCAAAATTTTAGTTAAAAAGAAACCCATGGTCTACATTAATAAAGATGTCGAAAAAACAAATATTAATAAATACGAACCTAGTGGCAGCAGAGGTGAATCCAAGATTTGAATATAATGGATTCGAGTTTGAAATTCTACCCCAACTCATCTAATTTATTAGATTCAAACTCTTCTATTTATACTTATTTCGTGAATGTTTACCAAATATATGAATCAGAGCCAAAATTACTTGGTTCGGATGATAAGTCTACATCCACCCCTGAGTGCCAGAAGGCTCTCGGCCTAAAGGGCTCGGGGGAAGACGAATGTAGACGGCCTTAACACCTCATTAGAGAGGCTAGTTCCAAAATTCGAGCTTTTTAAAGAGTCTTCCAAAATTCACCTATAGAAACACATATTGCTAATCTCAGTTGCTCTAAATGCACATCTTGCATGATTTACATTAATACTCACCCAAATTTGAACTAAACCACAAATATTTGAAGCAAAATAGAAGAATTCATAGTCTAAAACCAATCAATAGCCATTTGTGTTCATCTCAATTAACGGTAAAATAAGAAGCTTAAAGTTAAATTAATTAAATATAGAAATAGGAAATAGCATACCCAACAACTTGGCGACGACCCTTGTTATAACGCTGCAAATGCCGGCCAGTACGTGAAACCATAACCACCATACTTTTTCAATGGGAAAAAATATGTATGTATACGGTCGAAATAACTGTCAGCCTTCCTACGTTCGATCGAGTTCGAGTGTTAAGAAATCGGAATGAGATTTTGGGAGTGAGCTCTGAGGTCGGTACTAACGAACCTCGAGCCCGAAGGTCGCTCGAGGAGGCGGCTCGATAATCCTATCGAGCCCGTGACCGAATCGATCTGCAAGGCACTGCTTCGAGGTCAGAAATGTGTGACGCCCATCTCGAAGGTCGAACTCGATCCAAGACCGAAGGGCCCGACCCAGTAACGAGTTCGAGCTAGTATCAAGCTCACAGACAAGAGCCGTTACAACTACACCAAGAAAGAGAATCTTTGCGGGAATCAAGGAAGAGACAAGTCATTATAGGTCTTCCACTATATATTTTATTTTATTATTTTTTGGTAATGACCCTCTTTTATAAAAGGGGGAATCCTTGTAAACTAGAGGAGGTTGAACATAAAAAAGATCACTTCCTCTANACTAGACGGGGCTGAACATAAAAAAGACCACTTCTTATATTGATAGTAATCCCCTTGTGTTTGTTTTACTGATTCATTATTTTTGCTTATTATTTTCGTTCTTACAGTCAACAATACACATATTTCCATTTATCTACGCGATTTATATCAAATTGTATCGCATATCCTTAGAACCATCCACAAATCTAACGTTATCCGATTTTTTCGGTAAACAGTTTGGCGCTCACCGTGGGGCTAAGGGTAACAGTGATCGTTTGATATGAACCTAAAGTACACGCCAGTTTGCAACTTCAAATCAGCAATGGCTTTACTTATCGACCACGAAGCCGGCCTTCAAGATGAAACCAATAACTTGGAACCCGGGGCCGGAAGGCCACTCGATGAAGGCGCTGAGGCTCGAATCGAAGCACCCAAAATTCGAGCCGAAGTATCATTGGATGTCAATTCACAAATAGCTCTAGAGGCAAATCAGCGTTCCGAACCGAAAATGAGCATTCAAGGTGGTACTCGATCCGTAGCTCGAGACACCCATAACGTGGAGGAGATCGGAGTCAGCTTATGGATGATCTTCGAGATGTTGCAAGCCTAGCAAATAGCGATAGCTCAGTTGCAGAGCCAAACTCAGGTACAAAGCAGGCCGGAGCCCAATCCGCTTCGAGAAGTCACCCACAGAACAGAACCAGCCATAGGAAAGCCAAATGAGCAAGAATCGGGGACTACTCCCGAAATTACTAAATTGCTCGAGGAACTCACAAAACAAGTCGAAGCCAACGATAAAAAAGTAGAAGCATATAATTCCAGGGTCGACCAGATCCCGGGGGCTCCACCAATGATAAAAGGGCTAGATTCGAAAAAATTCATTCAAAAGCCTTTTCCCTCGAGTGCATCCCCAAAATCAATCCCCAAAAAATTTTGTATGCCCGGAATACCCAAATATAACGGAACGAACGACCCCAACGATCACATCACTTCTTACACGTGTGCCATCAAGGGCAATGATTTGGAAGATGATGAGATCGAATCTGTATTATTAAAAAAATTCGGTGAAATCCTGTCAAAATGGGCAATGATATGGTATCATAATTTACCATCTAACTCCATTGATTCTTTCGCTATGCTTGCAGATTGTTTCGTAAAAGCTCATGCCGGAGCCATAAAGGTCGAAATCAGAAAGTCAGACATGTTCAAGGTAATGCAAAAGGATAACGAGATGCTAAGGGAGTTCGTAGCTCGTTTTCAAATGAAACGAATGGATCTGCCACCAGTCACAGACGATTGGGTTGTTCAAGCTTAAACTCAAGGTCTAAATGAGCGGAGCTCGAGGGCTTCGCGGTGGCTGAAGCAAAATCTGATCGAGTACCCAGCTATTACTTGGACCGATGTGCACAATCGATATCAATCCAAAATAAGAGTCGAAGATGACCAGTTGACTTCTAGGACCATTACGAAAAAGTAAAAATCGACCAGAGATCGATACCAGCCATATAGCGAAAACGATACTACTGCTGAGTATCTGAGGCCTCTTTAAAATCAACCTCGTACACAGGGGGGCTTTATCATTGAACGCATCTGTGATGATTATCAAGTTCGGTGCAAAGGAAGTTACTTCGTTATTTCATGACAAACAGTGTCTCAACGGGAAATGTTGTAAGGGCCAAACGGTCAAAACGAACCATGCTTATATAGTTGGCCCGAGCCCTGACGCAAAACATGAACCCATGTATAATGACCTGCAAAGAAAGCTCTCCTCCTTACCGATATTCTATGTTCAAGATTTATTATGCAAACAGGATCGAGTTCGAATCATTCACTTGATTGCCAAGCCTACGGGCCACTTTTATTTCGAGTTCGAGCAATCACTCACTCGACCATTAAGCCTACGGGCTACTTTGACTATTACGGCTACGGGCTACATTGCATCGAGTTCGAATTATTCACTCAATTGCCAAGCCTACGGGCCACCTTTATTTCGAGTTCGAGTAATCACTCACTCGACCATTAAGCCTACGGGCTACTTTGACTATTACGCCTATGGGCTACATTGCATCGAGTTCGAATCATTTGCTCGATTGCCAAGCCTACGGGCCACCTTTATTTCGAGTTCGAGCAATCACTCACTCGACTATTAAGCCTACGGGATACTTTGACTATTACGCCTATGGGCTACATTGCATCGAGTTCGAATCATTTGCTCGATTGCCAAGCCTACGGGCCACCTTTATTTCGAGTTCGAGCAATCACTCACTCGACTATTAAGCCTACGGGATACTTTGACTATTACGCCTATGGGCTACATTGCATCGAGTTCGAATCATTTGCTCGATTGCCAAGCCTACGGGCCACCTTTATTTCGAGTTCGAGCAATCACTCACTCAACCATTAAGCCTACGGGCTACTTTGACTATTACACCTACGTGCTATATTGCATCGAGTTCTAATCATTTGCTCGATTGCCAAGCCTACGAGCCACCTTTATTTTGAGTTCGAGCAATCACTCACTCGACTATTAAGCCTACGGGATACTTTGACTATTACGCCTACGGGCTACATTGCATCGAGTTCGAATCATTTGCTCGATTGCCAAGCCTATGGGCCACCTTTATTTCGAGTTCGAGCAATCACTCCCTCGATCATTAAGCCTATGGGCTACTTTGACTATTACGCCTACGGGCTACATTGCATCGAGTTCGAATCATTTGCTCGATTGCCAAGCCTACGGGCCACCTTTATTTCGAGTTCGAGCAATCACTCACTCGACCAATAAACCTACGGGCTACTTTGACTATTATGCCTACGGGCTACATTGCATCGAGTTCAAATCATTTGCTCGATTGCCAAGCCTACGGGCCACCTTTATTTCGAGTTCGAGCAATCACTCCCTCGACCATTAAGCCTACGGGCTACTTTGACTATTATGCCTACGGGCTACATTGCATCGAGTTCGAATCATTTGCTCGACTGCCAAGCCTACGGGCTACCTTTATTTCGAGTTCGAGCAATCACTCACTCGACCATTAAGCCTACGGGCTACTTTGACTATTACGCCTACGGGCTACATTGCATCGAGTTCGAATCATTCGCTCGACTGCCAAGCCTACGGGCTACCTTTATTTCGAGTTCGAGCAATCACTCACTCGACCATTAAGCCTACGGGCTACTTTGACTATTACGCCTACGGGCTACATTGCATCGAGTTCGAATCATTCGCTCGACTGCCAAGCCTACGGGCTACCTTTATTTCGAGTTCGAGCAATCACTCACTCGACCATTAAGCCTACGGGCTACTTTGACTATTACGCCTACGGGCTACATTGCATCGAGTTCGAATCATTCGCTCGACTGCCAAGCCTACGGGCTACCTTTATTTCGAGTTCGAGCAATCACTCACTCGACCATTAAGCCTACGGGCTACTTTGACTATTACGCCTACGGGCTACATTGCATCGAGTTCGAATCATTCGCTCGACTGCCAAGCCTACGGGCTACCTTTATTTCGAGTTCGAGCAATCACTCACTCGACCATTAAGCCTACGGGCTACTTTGACTATTACGCCTACGGGCTACATTGCATCGAGTTCGAATCATTCGCTCGACTGCCAAGCCTACGGGCTACCTTTATTTCGAGTTCGAGCAATCACTCACTCGACCATTAAGCCTACGGGCTACTTTGACTATTACGCCTACGGGCTACATTGCATCGAGTTCGAATCATTCGCTCGACTGCCAAGCCTACGGGCTACCTTTATTTCGAGTTCGAGCAATCACTCACTCGACCATTAAGCCTACGGGCTACTTTGACTATTACGCCTACGGGCTACATTGCATCGAGTTCGAATCATTCGCTCGACTGCCAAGCCTACGGGCTACCTTTATTTCGAGTTCGAGCAATCACTCACTCGACCATTAAGCCTACGGGCTACTTTGACTATTACGCCTACGGGCTACATTGCATCGAGTTCGAATCATTCGCTCGACTGCCAAGCCTACGGGCTACCTTTATTTCGAGTTCGAGCAATCACTCACTCGACCATTAAGCCTACGGGCTACTTTGACTATTACGCCTACGGGCTACATTGCATCGAGTTCGAATCATTCGCTCGACTGCCAAGCCTACGGGCTACCTTTATTTCGAGTTCGAGCAATCACTCACTCGACCATTAAGCCTACGGGCTACTTTGACTATTACGCCTACGGGCTACATTGCATCGAGTTCGAATCATTCATTCGACTGCCAAGCCTACGGGCTACCTTTATTTCGAGTTCGAGCCATCACTCACTCGACCATTAAGCCTACGGGCTACTTTGACTATTACGCCTGCGGGCTACATTACATCAAGTTCGAATCATTCACTCGACTGCTAAGCCTACGGGCTACCTTTATTTTGAGTTCGAGCCATCACTCGCTCGACTATTATGCCTACGGGCTATATTATTTCGAGCAAAACTACTCATTTCTTCGAATTAAAACAAACACTTGACTATTTAAGCTGAAGTACGCTCGAGCCCGATAAAGC